ACAGGCATTTTCAGTAATTACTACCTGTTAGTAGCCTAGTATTAATCTGCTTAGCCCATTCTTTTAGGCTGTCAGTCAAGCTAGAAACTGCTAGTAGTTTTTCATCTCAACACTGAAGACATTTCACAAGTTGTGCAAAGTTGGCTAGTTTCATCATATAATGCAGTACTCATATTTGACAAAGTTCATATTTTTGAAGTAGAGTTAGGCTAACTTCCTTGCCCAATTGTTGGTTTTGCAAGTGGCATTGTCTTTGCTCAGCCTCTTATGTAAAGAAGTTGCATTCTCCTTAGGCTCTACAGTGTGTATCCTTTACCTCTTATTCTCCTTGCCTAGTTTTGCCTATTCCCAATTTATACCTATCTTGGAATAGTTTTATTTGAGGTCTGGGCAAATCTGGGACAGCTGATAGAAATGTGAGGAGGACAGAGATTACAAGTTGCAATTCTCATCCAAACCCAAAAGCCTTGAAATCTGGGACAATGGAAGTGGTTTATACGGAAATCTAAAGCTGCAGCACTTTTCATCCGGAACAACGAAATATCTGGGAGACCAGGGTCCAGGACAGCGGGTTGTGACTGTACTCTATAGTATTAGTTAATTGGTGACTGTATGTTCTGGAGTAACATTGTTTAATTCTAGTACTATTTCTTCGGATGCGTAGAGCACTCGGGGTATTTTCCCTCTAACCCAAATGCATGCTCGCAGTTAGGAATTGAAAATGATGCCCAGACACCAATACTTTGCGAATCACCTCCTGATAATATGTTTCGATTGAGTATTATTGAATTTGATGGACCACAACACAGTGTCAAAGGAGCAAAGCGGGGTTGGGAGAGGAAACTGAAACGACATGCCAACTTCACTCGCCGTTAGATGAGTATCTGGAAAGCGGGCAACTGTCTCCTTCACTCGGACGAAAAGAAGAAAGAAAGGAAAGGAAGAAAAGAACAAGTGCCTCCATTACTGAGGTTGCTCGATCAAATTTTCCACCCCCTTGGGAGTGCTTACTCTGTTGTCGCTGTCCATGGTTGTGTTTGTGAAAGGGAGGGGCCAGAGGAAAGACGGTCCAGAATTGTGTGCGGAAACCCGATGCTACAAAGAGTGCCCGCAATAACGGCTACTTCACGATCTCTGTGAAAATATAGACACAAATTCGAAATTATAGGTAAGGGGTTTTATATAAAACCCCCCCTCGCCCCCCGCAATAAAATTTCAGCTCCCCCTGTACGATACTGGGCCTGAGCTGTCGGTGTAGGTGAAGAGAAGAAATCTCTATATTCGAATCTCAATACATAACCCTGAACTAGCATTGATCCGGCCACCCCAGCTCTAATTCTGGCT